GTTCAAAGGCACTCAAATCACCTTTCTTCCCCGTACTGATGCTCGGTTTGAACTGCAGGAGATTGTCCCTAAATGCACTGAGTTGCCGCCATGTGATTGGCTGATTAGAAATTAAGTGTTAACGAGCAGTTGGACAGGTGTACCTAATAAAGTGGCCGGTGAGTGTTTGTGACTGGTTAAATGTATACAACTTACCAAACCGAGAATTTATATGCAAGGATGTTGAACAAATACTTGGCCGCTCTATGAATATTGTGGCCCCTTGATGGCCCCTTACTCAGAAAAATCCTAGATCCGCCATTGATTTGAACTACAGTACTTTGATTTTAGTGAACAAAAAACACTCCCTTAAACACTTTCTGATGAGCTGAATGACATGAGTACCACAATCACCTGGACGTTTACAGCTTCCCTAGCCTGGCCCTTGCCTTCCTACGCAGCTCTGCTCGATTCTAGTTTCCCTTCACTGCCTCGTATGAAGCAAAGTAAAGGACAAGGGTCTGGTTTTTACAAGGCTACAGCTTCCCTGACAATGGCCTAGTTTTGCTAAAACTAGACAGCTACCTTCTCAAGCTAATCTCAAAAAGTACTGAATGGATTTCTATCAAATTTTCAGGAAACGTTTATTATACCGCAGAAAACAGTTGGATAGAAGCCGATCTTAAGTCCAGATGTTTACTCTCTTTCCTGTGTAACAGAAAAGGGGACGGGAGGCTGGAGTAAGCCAACCTTTGTTACAGGGCTCATTTGTCTGTAAAATATGAAAATAAAACAAATCCACCTCAGATTTAAACTTTCAGGGAAATTCTATCAATTATAGAGCTACCAATGACAGAAATTTGAGCCAAATCGCATGGCTGTTTTAATAGTTGGATTTTGGTTTTCTAAGATTAAATATATTCCCCACTCTCGTCAAATAAACCGAACTAAAAACACATGAAGGTTTCAGGAAATGTTTAATGAACCACAGAGTTTAGTTGATTAACTGTTAGCAATGTCTGGGGTGACCACCGGTTACATCCTGGATCTCTGTGCCACAGATCAAGTGCTTAACCCGGTCAAATTTGAACAGCGAGCCAGGCCGACCGTTTCATCTCCAAGTCCCATGGAAGGAGCTAAACCCACTGCACCTAAACGCATATTATCAGGCAGGAAAATGATTGACAAACCTTCCAACCTACTAGAAGGCAGAGGAGGGACAGTCTGGACACATTGAAGCGTTCAATGGGGCAGAGTGGGCAACCTTTTTCTGATTTGTGAAACTTCAATAAAAGGTGTTTTCATCACTTTTATGCATCTGGACCACACTAGACCTGATCCAGCTCCAAAGCTCTTCAAATCTGGACTATATTTTTCTACACTTATAGCAGATTATCTAAGGCCAATTGTGTTTTCTTTATTTGATTTGTGAAAATTTAGGCCACTTTGGGAAATGTCGTTACATGATTGATGCAAAGGTAAAAACAAAATATAGATGATTGTCCACTGTGGCTCCATCTGATCAAAGAGTGAATGCTGCAAGTCAGTGACGGACGGTACAATCTGCTGGGTTTCCTTACATAGAAAACGTCATTGAACTAATGTGTTAATAAGTTATAGTTTAATAACTATGATCAGTTGGAATGGGTTAGGCGATAAATCAATTTAACCGATTAATTCGAATTTGCCATTCCTTAAGATTTACTTTTGGGAAAATCTGGATTTTTTTTTCCCACCAGTGCACTATTTGGGGCTTCTGTCAATATGTGACGAGTTGGGAGTGAGAATGTGTAGGTAGTTCAGAGGGCACCCCGCATGTCCCTCAAGACTCTTGATACATGACATGACTATATGGCAGCTAGCAAAGAGGATCTACTTCCCAGAAAAGGCATGGTTTCTTCAGTTATCTGGAACTAGTTAGGTTCTGCAACCTCGGACTTGGAGCAACAAACATCTCACTGCAAAATCTGTTTGAAGGCTCCTGCTACATAAAGTAGAGTACAAACAAATTGCTTCAACACCTGAAACGGAGGCACTTCATTAAGTGGGAAAAAAATAGATTACAATTGAAAATTAAATTCCGGAAGAAAAAAATCAGATTTTTTAGGCCATATCGCCCAGCACTAATGTGAAGGGAATTTGTGATCAATAAATGTAAGTTTGAATAAAATAGCAGGAAACCAGTGGATTTTTTTTTCAGCTCCAGTAGTCAAAATGGCCGCCTTATCTGAATATAAAAAAGAGTTCAGGTACACCAAAACTAACAAAAAAACCTCTGCCCAATAATAATGATGATTCAACCTTCCTGGTTACACCCCTGAAAGTGGGATCTTTTACATCTGACATTAACATAACCAATTTTGTTATGAAAACAGAAAGTACACATCGATAAGACACACAACCTCTCATTCTTTGTTATAAACCATATAGTTGCATTATTGCAGCCACATGAAGAAAGTACAAAATCAAATACTGGATCTAACATTTAGTCAGTGAGGTACAAAATGTCCTTCATATGTATGCTTACATTCAAATGACTTTTTTGTAAAGTGCAAAACAGAGACAGAGGCCGTGGGAAGTTTCCTCTGACAGGACACTGCTATGCAGTGAACACTGAGGGGCAGACCGTCTGACTAAAAGATGGTGTTTGTGGATTGAGGCTTTGTAAGACTAGCTGTAAGACATGTGAGGTGAATATTGTGATGGCAGAAGGTGTGATCTTAGTAGCAGGGGCGGAGCCTCAGGGAGGGCTGGGAGGGTGGACATGCCCATATGCCAACAGCGGATGAGTTATCTAGTCTTATATCTACAGGTGCTGGTCATAAAATTAGAATATCATGAAAAAGTATATTTGTTCCAGTAATTCCATTTAAAAAGTGAAACTTGTATATTATATTCATACATTACATACAAACTCATATATTTCAAATATTTATTTCGTTTAATTTTGATGATTACAAATGACAACAAATGAAAAT